GCTTCTGAATTGGGGTATGGACATTGTGGACTTGACAGGGGGGAAAAAAGAAAAACAGATCAGGCACATGACAACATGTACTGACTGTAATGGTGATCACATGACTGAGAGACGCTGCAAAGGTCATAAATGTGGGCACTGATCGTAAAGTTATTTTTTTCAGCACCGTCGTAACTTTGAACAGTCGCTGAACAAGGCAGTTGGTAAGTGAGGTCTACCTGTACATCAGCTTAAAATCCAACCATTTCACATCTACCCTGCCCAAACACTCCTCTCCACATACTTGGTTCTGATTAAATATTCTGCCTGCATAACTGCCCTAAGGAACTTCCAGTTCTGGGGAAAAAGAAACATTTCTTTCATCAGGAATCACCTTAGGCTGTCTTCTCAATTCATATCCAGGAAAACAATTTCTCTCCACTTGGTCTCTGACAGACCGTGGCTCCTTGGCCTGTCCCTCTTCCTCTTACCTGTAAGCCATGACAAATGCCACCAGCTTCTGGTAAAGCTGTAGTGTGTGCACCTTAGGGTTGAAGATATTTGGGTGGGCCTTCATGAAGGGCAAGATGATAGAGGAATACTCCATCTCAATATTGGCCAAGTCTTTCTCCACAGCTTCTAGGACTCCTGTCCCCTGCAGAAGCCGTGCCCGCTCTTCAGGATTCCTGTATAAAAGAACCAGCAGGAAGAGTAGCTTTTTCTTTGGAGAAGGACACCATATTATGAAAAAAGAAATTTTGGGATCTTGCAATGTCTCTCTTAAATGCTTGCTGGTTCTTCACGTATCCATCTCACACTCAAACACATCTTGTATTTGCTTTACTGAGAGTAGGTTTTAGTTTAGATTCTGATAGAAAGTAGCTTTCATAACAGAAGAAGGGATAGCAGATATGAAGTAGAAAAAGCAAAAGTCTTAAAGAACACCTAGGACAACTCTGGGAAGCAGCAGCTTTGAAATGGAGGTACCCAGCAGCTAAAATGGCTACCACGGACTTAGCCAGCTCTAAAGGCCATTGAAGATAGAGTGTTGGGTTCAGTCTGGAGAAAGGGTACCCAGTGATCCTAAAATGGATTACAAGTAGTCCTTGCTTAACAATCACAAGTGGGACCAGAATTTAGATCATTAAGCAATGCAGTCATTAAGTGAATCATCATGTGACCAGACCCGATTTTACAACCTTTTTTGTGGCGGTCATTAAGTGAATCACCCTGATTGTTAAGTGAGTCACATGGGGATTAAGCGAATCACACAGTCATTAAGTGAATCATGTGGTTCCCCATTGATTTTGCTCACCGGAAACCGGCGTGACCCTGTGATCCCAGGATGCTGCAACCATCATAAATGCAAGCCGGTAGTCAAGTGCCCAGATCACAATCACATTACCGCAGAGGCACTGCAACAATTGTAACTTTGGGCACTGGTCGTAAGTCACCTTTTTTTAGCACTGTCTTTACTTCAAACGGTTGCTATATGAATGCTTGTTAAGCGAGGACTACCTGTATGCAGTGTTCTCTGCACTTACTGAAGCCTCGCTTGTGACTGGTCTGAAATCCATGAAGTGTTTGTGAGTACAATCAGGAGAAAGAGTGCTAGAGAAGAAGAGGCCCTGCACAGGATCAAGGGCAGCTGCCAGGTTGTCCACCTAAACCAGGGAAAGAGGAATATCTGTACACCCTTTCTAAACTCCTGAATTAGGAAAAGTACCCAGGGGATAGAATTAAAACGCAGCATACATGTGTTAAACTTGTATAATAATTAGTCCATATATACTTATTAGAGCTTAAAACTGGAGTTCAGAAAAGAAAATGCCCTTACAGTGGTACCTCAGGTTACGAACGCCTCTGCTTACGAACTTTTCGGGTTGCGACTAGCTCCGGCCGCAAAAATTTACCTCAGTTTGCAAACTCTGCCTCGGGGTACAAACCGGATCCTCGGCCATTTTCCGCCGTGCCAAGTGGTCCGCGGCCATTTTTCCACCCGTGCCACATGGTCTGCGGCCATTTTTCTGCCTTGCCACGCAGTCCGCGGCCGTTTTTCCACCCTGCTGTGCGGTCCACAGCCATTTTTCCGCCCTGCCGCGCGGTCCGCGGCCGTTTTTCCGCCCTGCCTCGTAGTCCGCAGGCGTTTTTCCGCCCTTGAAGCGTGGTCCGCGGACGCCGGAATGGATTAACGGTGATTACATTGAACCTTATGGGAAAATTTGCTTCGGGTTGCGAACAAATCGGGTTGTGACCAG